ACTGCTTTAGAAGAGGCTATATTTACTAAGTTTTAAAAAAGGTCTGCAGTTACTTTTATTGCACGTTGATTTACTGGGGAAAAGGTCACTTTGTTTCTTCCGTGACCATATGCATTCATATCCATATTTTACACTATGTGGTGATGTAAAATACATATGTAGAAAAAGAAAAAAAAAAAGCAAAACTAGAGTTACTTCAGTATTCTTAACCGTGGAGCCAGTGTCCTGATTGTGAGGGCACTAAAGCTGCATTACTGATAAAGGTTATAAAAATACCTTAATGATCTCTTAAAAAATGTACAAATGTTCACCACCAGGGATGATCTGGTAATTCCTCTACCTACAGACAACTCACCAGGCTCCATTCATCCTTGCTGTTCTTTGAATTAAAAAAGGCCTTTTCTTTCATCTTTTTTTACTCTTGGAATTATTCTCTACAATCATTCCTCTCTTTTCTGCTGTACAAAACTTGAAATTTGCAATAATGAGGTTTATCTGTATTCTGTTTTCATTATCATTAAGATAATATGACAATGTGTGCTAAAAACTAGAAGCTGTTTTAATGCAAAACATGGAAAACTCAGCTTGGATCGGGTGAAAAAATGATAAACTTGGAAACTTATTAAAAATAATATAGGCTGATGTCTGGCTAGATGGAGGAATGTACGATGAGGCCAATGCAGCACATTGTTAACAGCTGCAAAATCTAGGAAGACATGGAAATTTATTGTAAAGTTGCTTTAACTTTTCTATGTCCAAAGGCTTTCCAAACAAATTGTTGAGGGGAAATGTAATCACATCCCAAACGAGTTTTAAACAGCAAGGGAAAAACATCCAAATCACACAGAATGGTTCTGCCAAAAAGACTACGCAAGATTTTATTGCTTGTATTTGTTGAGTTGAGGAGGGAAAAGACTGCCATAACCGTTTTTCTTTTCTTTTCTTTTTTTTTTGTGGGTATGAGTATATTGCTTGCATGTAAGTGTAGCCATGTCACGCAGTGCCTGGAGAGTTCAGAAGAGGGTGTCAAATCCCCTGGAACTGGAGTTATGAACAGTTGTTAGCTACCATGTGGGTGCTGGTAATCGAACCCAGATTCTCCACAAGGGCAGTCGGTGCTCTTAATTGCTGAGCCATCTCTCCAGCTCCACCTTTCTTATTTTTCTATCTCCAGAAAAGACAAAATAAAATTACTTTCCTATTGAGTCATGAAGGCAGGTAGAAAAGTAGGCTCATTACAAATTGTATGCCAAATGAAGTTTTATCTGGGCAAATTTTGAAGAATAGAAACTGAAATTTCTTCCTTACCTAAAAATATGATGTTTCACTTCTTGCTAAACAAGGTACCTTCATTTTCCACATTCCAATTATTCTTCTTAATAATATTCATTTACTTTGAATCAACATATTCAGATAAAATCTTTAAAAATCATAAAAAACTGTCAATGCATTGAAAACTGCTCATCTATAGTGTACATATGAAATACATATGATATGCATCATAAGTCCTTCAACACAACTTCCTAAAGAGGTATGAGCAAGACATATTTATATCTGAAATTCTATCAATGAGTGTCTGGTAGTAATTTAGACCGTATTACACATCCCCTGCATTTCATAAGGCAGAAAATGCATTATAACTTAAAGAAATTGCTCAGCTACTGGTGGATGTATAATGAGCTATAACACACACATTTACTGAATGCCTACTATGTACATGCACAATGCTAAGCCTTAGGGAGGAGAACATGAACAAGACAGAGTCAAAGACTTCATGAAATTACTTTAATAAAGAAATATAGGTGGAAATTATAAAAAGACTTAACAACTGACTTATAAAGTATTGTAATGGAGGAGATTCCTTGGCTTAGGGATCAGAACTCTTTGGAAAGACTTCCTGGGCTTAAGGGATGAACAGTGGTTATACAGACAGAAGTATTCGACGCTGTGGTGGTAGCACAGATGTACAGGTGGCACGTTTTGGGCACAGAACTACAGGTGGATCAATATTGCAAAAGAAAAAGCTCACAGTATATAGTGCAGAGTAATGAGGCTAGAGAGGCAGACAGCACACCACAGAGGATCTTTGGGATATGTTACAGAGTTTGGAATTTCTCTTGGCTTCCCAAAGATTTTCATTAAGGAGATGTTGCAATTAGATAGTATCTTTACAGAACTCTCTGGTTCCCAAAAGAAGGATGACTGTGAGGAAGACAAGTTTGTCAGCTAACAGAGTAGTGCAATGAAGACCTAAACTAAGAGAATGACAGATGTGGTTCTGGAAAAAGAGAAGCCTGGGTGAATGTAGGGATAACCCCCAAGCCTACCCCAATCAAAGTATGTAACACAGAGAAAAAAGCCAAGCAGGAAGAGATGATGAGTTGAGCTTTGGACATGGTGAATTTGACATGCTACTTCATTATCTAAGTGAAATTTTCCCACAGAAAGTTAATGGACAAGCCAAGAGAAGAGATTTGACTAGGGGTTGAATTTTGAGTTAGTAAAATATTAGATTTATGTGATTGGATAGTATTTCTTTTCTTTTAAAAATATCAGCCATTCTTTAGGTGTGTGTGGCGTCTTATTTTTTAAAGATTTGTTTTTATTATTTTCAATTATGTGATGTACATTTGTGTGTCTGTGTGGGGGTATGTTCATGTGAGTGCAGTACCTGAGGAGGCCAGATGCATCAGATTCCCAGAGTTGTGAGCTGCCCACATGGATACTGGTAACAGAACTCAGGTCTTCTGCAAGAACAGTACATGCTCCTAACCACTGACTCATCTCTATCTTCTTGCTGTAGTTTTTTATCCCCTAATGTTTAATAATGTTTAGCATCCTTTTAAATGCTTATCTGTTCTTAGCATAACTTGTTTGGTGTCATTCCAAATTTTTCCCAGTTTTTTCATGTTGGGCTGTTTTCTTATTGCTTTTAATAATTCATTACATTTGTGCTGGATAGCTTTAGTGTCAACTTGACACACCTGGGTTGAGGGAACCTCAATTGGGGAATTTCCTCTATTGGACTGGTCTGTGGCCATGTCTAGGGGCATCTTCTTGATGAGTGATGTGGGAGGGCCCAGACCACTGTGGGTGGTGCCACCCCTGGGCAGGTGGGCCTGGGTTGCATAAGAAAGCAGGCTGAGCTGGGACCAGGGGAGCAAGCCTGTAAGCAGCGTTCCTCCATGGCCTGTGCTCCAGCTCCTGCCTCCAGGTTCCTGCCCTGAGTTCCTACCTTGGGCTCCCTGATGAACTGTGTGCGACCTGGGAGATGTAAGACAAATAAACCCTTTCCTCCCCAAGTTGGTACTGGTCAGAGTGTTTTGTCACAGCGATGAAGAACAAACTAAGACAACATTTTAATGTCTTTGTGTGTGTGTGCTGGTATATGGGGAGGGCACATGCATATGGAGGTCAGAGGGCAATTTTGTGGAGTTGGTTCTCTCCTTTCACCTTCATGTGGGTTCCAGGGAACAAACTCAGATTGTCAAGCTTGTGTGGGATGCACCTTTTACCAGCTAAGCCATCTTTCCACCCTTCTAAATTCATTTTTAGCATTCTTTACACAACTTTTTTTTTTTTTTTTTTGGTCTTTTTGAGACAGGGTCTCCCTGTAGCCCCAGCTGTCCTGGAACTCACTATGTAGACCGGGCTGGCCTCCAACTCACAAAGATCCACCTGCCTCTGCCTCCCAAGTGCTGGGATTAAAGGCATGCTCTTTTATCAGTTATCTGGTTTCCAAATATTTTCTCCCAAAGGGTATTTCATTCTTTCAAAGAGGGTAATTTTGAGGACCAACTTTCTTTTCTCTTTTCTGTGCCATGTTTTTGATGCCATATCTAAGAAGTCTTGGCCTAGTCAAGGTCACACATTTTTTATATCCTGTCCGTCCTTCTGTTACACTTTGTGGCCTTGCCATTTACATGCACTATCCGTTTTGTGTTGCTTTTTCAGTATGGTACAAGGAACTAGTCAAGGTAGTGAGAGCAGATAAGAGTCAGCCAACAGAGCATACAGAATGAGAAATGCAAAAATCCCATGGGACCCTAGGAGGAAAAAGGGAACGCTTAGGGAAGGCGGCAGGACTAGACACTGCGTGGAAGCAAAGGCGTGGGGAAGATCTGAATAACCAACACTGTGTACCAGGATAAGCAATACAATCTGTCTTTTTAACTTGCATGAACTTACTAGGGAATTTAGGAATGGCATGGTTGGTCAAAACAAACTTTTCCCATATCCTAATTTCATATAGCCTTTATAGGAATCTCCTGCGTCATGGCTGGGTGAGAGCTGAACTCGCTGAGCATTTATTGTTATTGCGGTTCACTTTTTTTCTTTCTCCTCCTCCTCCCTTCTTCTGCATTGCTTTTTAAGGTTATTTTTAAGTTAGCATACAAAGTAATGGGCTTCATTATGGCATTTTCATACATATGTCATTATACTTCACTTAGCTTTGAGCACTCTTGAAAAGGTCATTTCTTCAGGTCAGGGATTCCCGACTCTGAGGATGACAAAGGTAGATCCCTGGGGGCATTCCGGCATCAGATTCTGGGGGCAAACCCGCTAGGAGTTCCCACTCCCACACATCCCCCCGGCCGGGGAATTAGAACTACAGTCACTGCAAAGCTTGCTAAGCAGCCACCGCAGCTGATTAAACTACAGAGGAATGAGAGGGCGGGGATTCATATCTATAACCCGGGTTGCGATGGGGGGATGCGGGGGGGGATGGAGGGGCTGGTTAGGGAAGTTCCTCCATCGCTTCTCCTCCAGTGCCCCTCCTGTAAGCCCCAAGGAGCCGCCGCTCCCACCCGGGACCCGGCGGGGGAAGCGGGGAGGTTGGGTGGCCGGTTCTTTCCCAGCGGTCCCTGGGAGGCGGTCCTGACCTTTTGCCCCTGTCCAGTTGGCTGGAGGTGATTTTTCAGCGGCTTTAAGATGCGATTTCCCACGCCCAAAGCCGCCTGGCCCCTCCCCTCCAGCCAGTCGTAAAGTGCGGTAAAGACGCCAGCGCTTTACGGCACCATAGGAGAAGCGGCAGCGTGGGTCCCAACCGGGCTCATCGCCTTGGAGCTGCAATTGTTGAAAGGCGGAAGATTTTGGGGGGGCGTCGGGGACGCACCTGCCATTAGCTCAGCGGGTAATTGGACCAAACTGATGAGATTGTTTAAAACATTCTAGTCTTTACTAAGAGTAAGCATGGCATCCGGTGTTCAGACGTTTCAGGCTCTTTGGTTTTCATCGGCCTCACTAGACATAGCACCCCTCTGTGTAGCTAACGTTGTTTTCTTGTTCACTTCGTCCTGCAGTCTCCTTTTCCCTGGAGTTCGAAATGCTTTACCTGATCGGCTTGGGCCTGGGCGATGCCAAGGACATCACAGTCAAGGGGCTGGAAGTGGTGAGACGCTGCAGTCGGGTGTATCTGGAAGCCTACACCTCAGTCCTGACTGTAGGGAAGGAAGCCCTGGTACGTGACTGAGGTTCCTCGAGCCTTTTGGGAAGAAAACTAACCAGCATCTGATTTGCATTCAATAGATGGAACAGCGTTTTCTGTCTGCTTGTTTAGACCCTTTAAAACACATCCCCTCTTCATTGAAGTCTGGGGAGAACAGAAAAGGCACGCATACACCAACCCAGTGACTTGGAAAAATGAACCGGTAGTCCGATTTTACAAGTCTAATTTTGCGGCTTTCTCCAGTAAATAAAAGGGGGGGGGGCGGGGAAGCTATTTTACACTCTTGGGGATAGTTATCAAAATCTTTTATTTCATGAGCTAGCCAAGAAATCCTTCCTGAGTTGAGTGCTAATGAGGTGCTGACACAGCCTTAATGAGTTGGTTATACATTCAGAAAGCAATCTCAAAGCTCCTGCCTTTGAAGTATTTCCAGAGGGAATGGTAATCATCTTTCTGCTTGCAACATATCCAAAGAGGTCTTACCTATTAAATAGATAATCTCCCAGTAAGGCTTGCATTCCCACAGGTATACATAGAGTGGACCTGGGACTAAGTAACCAGAGGATTTATTAGTGTATTATATACATATAGCTGGCCTTCATTAAGAACTTAGTAAACATTAGAAGGGTCAGTTGCAGATTCATTGTCGAACTTCAAGTAGAATATATAGGAAGTTGAAAAGACTGTTGGGTGTGTTATGGGAGGAAGGAATGGATTTTTAAAATTGTCAAGGCTTCCAAATAGAAGTGTGCTCTACAGAATTTCAGTCCTCTCCTGGGATTCTGAAGGTTCAAAAGTTACTCTTGAGGAGGGAATTAAGGATTGTTTCTTGAACTGGTTTGTGTGTTAGAATAAAAGTGGTGTCTGATAACCAGCTTTGATTTGCTGGCTACATTTGTTGGTTTTCACCAACAAGCTTGGAATCAAAATATGTAACTTCACGGTGATAGAAATGTGTCTCTCTGATCAGTGATCAAGGAAAAACTGCAGTGAGTTAAAAACCATCAAAGAGAATAAATGACAAATCAGCAGCTTAATAGAAGAAGGTGTTAAATTATAGCTTAGCTCAAAGTTAGGACCAGAGTTTGTTTTTGCCTTGTGACAAGTCCTTGAATAACTCCTTTAGGTTTAGTTTCTTACTGTGTAAAATGAGGTCAAAAGTGCCTGCGTCATAGGCTCCTAGAACAGTACCCAGCACAAAAGTGTACAGAAATACTAGTTGTTGGTAGACACATTTCCAAAGTTCTAAAGGTCAGTTTCTTCATTTGTCAGAAAGAGATAGCCAATTGGAAGGTTATGTAGTATTAAATGTGAATGCACTTTGTAAATTTTAAATGCTAGTGAAATATTAATTTTCACGTTTTTTTTTTCTCCCAGAAAACATACTTGTAGTTATTACTAAAAGATCTGGGGTTTGGCCCAACCTCATCTATAGATAAATTGTGTATATTTTGTTAAGGTGCTAGAATATCTGTTCTTTCATAGTAGCAAGTATTAGTGTTTATAAGGACACTTTACTTTGCTCAGTTTATTTCCTTATAGTGCTAGGGATAGAACCCAGGGTCTCCCACATGCTGTACCACGAGCCACAATCCCAGCCTTTGCACTGTGTTGCATGCTTTACATGAGGAATAGGATTGTCACTCTGTAGTTACTCTTCATGTTTTATAGGCACACAGAAGTTAAGAAACTTGGCCAGTACCATACAAATAGTGAATGATGGAGGCAGGGTACAAAGCAAAGCAGTCCTGAGTTGAGGTCTGCCAACCCCAACTTCCATACCCTCTCTCTGCATTTTTAGGAAAAGATAATAGCTATGCAAAGTTTAACTTTGGAGATTGCCAACAGAGAAGTTAGTGTCAAGCAAAGTTGTGTGGTATGGATCCTCCCCTATCACATGTCTTCCTTCAGGCCCTCAGTTCATGTATTCCCTGAGCAACTTGCCATAGAATGCCATCCACCTTGTCAGTCATTTGGGGCTAAAGTAAGGTATGAATAAGTTCATGCCTTATATTGCCCAGTAAAATCTCAACCTCTTTCTTTTCAACCACATTCTTTCTTCCTTTCATTTTCCCCCTATTTATTTAACAAGAAAATTGTATTTTCTTGTTGAAACAAACTGATTTTTAGAAATTGTTGACTTGTGCCTAATACCTATATATGAAATCTGGTCTCAATTCTAGATAGCTATCTCACTATGAAAAAAAATTCGATAATTCTATTTTCTACAATGAACATATGCTTTCTTTTTCAGCAACAATCAACCAAGATTTTATAAAAGGCACACATATGTTTTGCTAATGAAATCCAAAATTTATGCTAGGCATGGTGGCACATGTCTTTAAATTCCGGCGTCCGGAATCTCTGTGAGATTGAGGCCAGCCTGGTCCACATAGTGACTGCCAGATGGGCTGGGACTAGGGAGAACCTGTCAAGAAACAAACAACAAAATCCCAAATTTTTATATTTATATCTTAATAGCTTGGTTTCACATTACCAAATAGATGCTAATATTCATATGTTCTTCTTTCAAAAGAAATTAGAGAGTAAATCTAGGGAAGAGTTTTAATTTTGGTATCTGTAACTTCAGGTTTCTTTAGATAATTTCTGTGGCTACATTGTCTTACATGTCTGTAGGTATAACGCATCTATGCATTGTATGACGATGCATGAGCTATATATATATATATATAGTCTTTCTTCACAGATGGTTCATGGTTTATCTGTATTGCATGTAAGAAAACTTATTGGAAGGTTTAAGTCATAATTCATAAAAGCAGTGGGAGGAAGAAACTGTACGTTTAGAAATAACTGACATGGTCTTATTTAAATCCGCACTCAGGAATCCCGTAATCTAAACCAGCTCCCAGAACCCACATGGGAAAAGGAGAGAACTTATTCCCTCAAGTTGTCCGCTGACCTCTACATGTGTGCTGTGGCACCTATGTGCACACACACACATATATACACACTAAATAAATGTAAATTGTGAGCTAGGATTACTATTAGCATTAAATTAGCATGAGGGGGCCAGGCAGGATGGCACATGCCTTTAATCTCTGCACTCACTCAGGAGGCAGAGACAAGCAGATCTCTGTGAGGTCAAGGCCAGCCTGGTCTACATAGCAAGTTCCAGGCCAGTCAGAGCTAAACAGTGAGACCCTGTTTAAAAAAAAAAAAATTGGAACATAGCTTCTTGGTCTTTCTTAGGAAACGTTAATTCAGTAAAGACCATTGTTTTCCTCAGTTTCCAGTTGTAGTCTGTGTTCCCTTAGATCTGTGAATGTAATTGTTCTGTACAAATAAGTTTTCTGGTTCATAAAATCAAAGTAAAACATGTAACGATTAATGATTAAGAAAAAAGTACACGCTGGGCATGGCGTGGTGGCGCACGCCTTTAATCCCAGCATTCAGGAGGCAGAGGCAGGCAGGTCTCTCTGAGTTCAAGACCAGCCTGGTCTACATACTGAGTGCCAGGCCAGCTGGGGCTACAGGGAGACCTTGTCTCAAAACACCAAAAAAAAAGTACACACTAAAAGTGAAACTGAAGGAAGCAGTTTCACCTATAAAAACAGTGTCCATGGGAACTTAGGAAATGTTTTCTGTGCTGAGGTCATTTTCAGGATTTAAAACCCATTTGAGGAATGGGTTTTATTTAAGTACTATGAAATAATTATCAGATTTGGAACTATAGTGTTTATCTTCAGATGCTTAGTCTTTTGTTCATTTACTTATTTGTTTGGCTAATCTTGAGCACCTCCTCTCTTTCACTGTAGCAGTCCTCATAACTTTTAATAGTCCCGACTTCTCAGTATGCAAGGAATAGATGTATTTATCTGTGTATCCACTTCCATGTCATTTGAAGTGTCTATTACTGCATAGGAAGTCCACCATAAGAGTCGTGATCTTGCATAACGGCATTAACCAGTGCCACGTGACTGCTGGCTCACTGGCTTACTCTCCTGGGTTTGTTTTCTAGAATTGAACTTCAGGAGATTAATTCAACAAGCAGTTTGTATGGAAACTTCCTATATATTTAAAATTCAGTTTTTCCCCTTGTGGCTCTGCCTTGTTAGCAGGAGCAAACGAATACACTTTTAAATTTTTCTCTCCTGCAATTATGTAGGAATGTTCACTGGTTTGGTAAACAGGTAAATCTTAATTTTTTATTTCTTATTGATGCTACCTTTTATTTTTGCCAGCATAGCATAGATTTTCCTATAGAACATTCAGTGAAATAGCTGAACTACCATGTATCATTATCATTATTGCTAATATATTCCATATTATCATGTTTCTGGAATAGAGCTCATGAATACTTATTTTCAGTTCATCCTTTGATGTTCTGCCTGATCTATTAGAGGCAAATTTAGAGGCCTCAGATGTTAAGAGGTCTGCTTCCTCTAGGGATATTATGATAGCCCCAAAGACAGAGCTTAATTGCAACATGATATACAGTACTGGCTCGCTGGTGAGTTGTATTGAGTGATCTGTATTTGGATGGTTGCCAAGGTTTGCACTAGTTCCCAGACAAACAATGTTTTGCACTGTATATATGTGTGTGTGTGTTAAAATGGTCCCCTGCTGTCTCTCATTTTGATTTTGGATTTGAATCTATAGGAAGAGTTTTATGAAAGAAAACTGATTCTTGCTGATAGAGAAGAAGTGGAACAGGAAGCAGATAATATTTTAAAAGATGCTGATGTTAGTGATGTTGCATTCCTTGTGGTTGGTGATCCATTTGGGTAAGTCAAAGTAGGCATTTCGAACTATTAACATCAAGAATTATTCCATCATGTTTAAAATTCCAACATGTTTAACATTTCCTTTCCAGGTCCTGCTAAGGATCTCTTTACCTAAGTAAACTAAAAGTTAGTAGTTTAAACTTCCATTATGTTTGAGGTTAATGAAGAAAATCTGTTTGATAAAGATGTCATCATAAATGTCTCCACATTATACGTGTTGACTCTAAAGTTTATTTGTTTGATTCTTTGTTTTTATACAACATCATGTAGAACATCAGATGCCTTAACTAGGGCATCATTATTAAGTCAACCATCATCACATTATCAAAAGTGTTGTGTGCCATTTGCTGCACATAATTATAAGCATCTTTGGCTTCCTTTGTTCTAGGCTCTTTTTTCTTCTCCTTTTTAAATAATCTAATATTTGGCAATACTGCTGTCATGTTATCTGCCTTGAATTTATCATTTATCAAGCCTCTGGTTTCAATTTCTTGTACCCATTGGGAGCTCTGTCCTTCCTCATTACCAAGAAGATGGGTTTCTACTTGTCTAGTCAAGCATCATCAATCTCTAATGTCAAGCCAAACAGAAGAGCTCTTTGTCTACAGCTGGTGACCCAAGATTTATGCCACAGATCTGAGGAACATAAGGACAATTAAATCACTCTGAGTCCACCATCAAGGATATTTCTCAAAACAATGGACTTACGTGTATATGTGTCTGTCATAAAGAAAATAATTTACATCAGCGTGCACTGCCAGAGGTTCTGTGTCATTACATTTGATTGCAAATTACATTGGGTAATCGTACATTGTAAAATATTTAAATTCTTTTAACCTCTGCCAGACATTGTTTTCTGTATAATTAATGCCTCTCAAAATTCATAGTACCTATCTTTTTTTTCTTTCTTCTTACCAATAGAATAGTAACATGAAATAAGGAAAATGAAAAATCTTGTCTAGCAAATGTCTTCTCTTTTAATGAGTTTTCTCATTATCACACTGTGTTTTCTGCAGGGAATCATTTCCTCTTTCAACATGAGAGCACTGCAGTTCTTAGTGTCACCTTGCTGAGCAGCCTCAGCCACTTTTGACTTCCATACAGCCAATCACTGACAGTGTGCATTAAACAGTAATAGTGCTGCTCAAAGTGAGGTGTGCAGACTGGTACCAGCCCACAAACTTTTGGTAGTTCACAATGAAATAAGTTTAGAAATTGAGAGTAAGCATTTGGAAACAATTATAGTCATTTAAAAAGTAAATGTTCTATCTTCTGAATGTAATAGCAATTTGAGGCTTTGGACCTGGAGGGATGGCTCAGCAGTTAAGAGGATCTGGGTTCGATTCCCAGTGCCTACGTGGTGGCTAACAACCTTCTGTAACTCCAGTTCCAGGGGAATCTGACACCCTCTTCTGACCTCCTTCAGCATTGTACAACATGGGTGCATTTACATACATGCGGGCAATATGCTCATGCACAGAAAATAAAAATAATAAAATATTTATAAAAAAGAAATTTGAGGCTTATAATTTATACTTGTTTCATTTCATATTATTTTTAAATTTTTTTATTGTATTTTAATTAATTCCTTTTGTATATGTATGAGTGTATTACCTATATGTATATAAGAGCACCTGTGTCATGGAGTGCCCCCAGAGGCCAGAGAGGGCGTCAGATTCTTTGGACCTGGAGTTACAGACAGTTGTTAGCCACCATGTGGGGGCTGGAATTTGAACCTGGGTCCTCCTGCAAGAGCAACCAGTGCTCTTAACTGCTGAGCTGTTTCTCCAGTCCCAGTTTTTATTGTATTTTAGAAAACTTGTTCCATGACAATTTATAACCTAAAAAACAATAAAATAAAAAGCTTTCACCATAGTTTGAGAGGCACTGCAATTGGCATTTGTTTTGCCAGATTTTTCATATCCTTCATTTTCCTTTTACTCTGGATATGATTATTTTAACCAGCTTGCTACATTCTATGCCTTTTGCTTGGATTATATATGGACTGTTAACTCATTACCCATGTTATGGTCAAATATGTATATGTAAAACCATCAGTGTTTGGAAACCTCACCTGAGAACTTTGGCAGCTCTGTCATTATTAGCCAGATGTTAAAAACTGCTCAGCCTGCCTTCAGGCCTGTGTCCTGCCAGCCTTAGATATAAGTCCACACTCAGGCCAGCCAGCTCATTTCCTCCTGCTTTCTTACTTTCCCACCTTAGTTCAAGCTTTTTCTTTCACCTCTAATAACCTGTGACCTGTCTGTGCCTGTAAGAGGCCTCGTCGTCTTTCAGAACACAGCTGTCTATGCTGTAGTTCCTTATTCCAAGTGAAGATACAAGTGACGCTGTCCTCCACTGGACTAAGGGGATTATTGTTCACAGCTGTGTCACTTACCCTTTACATAGCTGTGCTGGAAGCCCCTGAGGGAGTGCACTTGGTGGAACATCGTGGCAGAGGTAGCATGTTAGAAAAGGAGCGCCTTCACCTCATGGGAGACAGGAAGCAGAAAGGGAGAGATAGACACAGGAAGGAGCCAGGACAAAGATGCCACCAAAGACCTACCTCCAGTGATCGCTTTCCTTCAGCTAGGTGCCACTTCTCCAAGTTTTCAGAACCTCACCACACAGGATCAGCTGAAAACAAGCTTTTAGCCCACTTCCTACCTAGACCCTCTGTACTTGTTGGCATCTTGTACCTCACAACATACTTTGACCCCTGTGTATATCTACTGCTCCTGTGGATTTGTATACATATTTTAACCCTCTTGATTTGATTCATTATACTTCACATACAGTTGCTACTAATTAAATATTAATTGAAGAACTTGGGGATAGTTTGCTTAAAGTCAACAAAGACTTATCTATCCAGCCACATACCTTTTGTGTACACATCTGGTGATAGGCACTCCTACATACTGGGTGATAAGACATGGATTCATGGTTTCATGGGCAAGGCCCACGGTAATCACAGAAAAAGAAAACTGAAGTTTTGGGCAGTTTATAAAGCAGTTGAGAGAGAAGTGTAAGGAGACTTAATATAAAGACACATGGAAACCTTTCTTTGAAGGTGATATTTGAGCAAGTGTCTGAAACGCAATAGAAAGCAGATCATTCCAAGCAGAGAAAACAGACTGTCGTGAAGCCACGGAAAGTCCAGGGTGGCTGGGACGTGGTGAGGGGCAAAGGGGGCATGAGAAGGTGTTAGAGAGAAAGGCAGGTGCCAGTCATCCCGAAGGCCTTGGAGGGAGGAGGGATTTAATGTGAAATACAATAGTAAACATTTATGGTTTTAAGCAAGAAAAATTAGCAAATTTGCCTCCCATTGTTAAAAATAATTCTACATGCTTGGGGTGAATGGATTTTACTGAACAGGGATGTTTCTAATGACAGAAAGAAAAGAGCCATCTAGAACAAACTTAGAAGGAAGAATGCCAAGATGGATCTGGTAGATAAGAAAAAGAAGGAACAAAATGGAACCTGTGGTCCTGGATCTAGAAGTGGGCTGTGGTTGAGATTGCTGCTGCTGCTGCGGCTCGGGGGAAGGTTGTTCTGGTTTTGATGTCATTAGCATGTAAGTGGTTTTTAAACCAGAGGAATGGAGAAAATGACCTTAGAGTAGAGGAATGGAAAGAAGAGAGGACGAGGATCAAGTCAAGCCCTGTCCTAAGGTGGGCATTTTATGTCCCATCTGTAGCCAGAAGAGAGGGGAAAATGAGTGGATGTCATTATAGAAGCCAAGAAAAGACTTAAATATGAGATGAGCCTATGTGTGAATGTAAAGACCAAATGTTGTTCATAAGTGGTGACTTTACAGAGGAGTTGGTGTTGAGTTGATCTAGATAGAGTTCAGAAGAGGATTGGAGGGAGCGTGGTGGAAGGTGCAGGGGAGAATGCCACGTAATTGAAATATCCAGTGCAGAGCAAGTGACTTGATGTAGTTGCTTCCCTGCTGAAATAAAAACCCTCGGTGACTTTTCATGGTCTTTAATAAGTCTCTGCTTTTTCCCCTGGCTACTTTCTTTGGTGGATATGTTAGAGCTAAATTGTACAACTTTGCATTTTGGGCTTTTGCAATTATCCCCCATATACTTGCCTTTTCCTTAAAAAAAGCCTGTTATTTCTGGGTTTTGTTTTTTGTTTTGAGATGGTCTCCTGTAGCTCAGCCTAGTTCTGAAATCTCTGGGCAGTAAGGTTGGCCTCGAACTCCTGGTCCTTTTGCCTCTACCTCCAAAGTGATTCTGAGTAAAATGCCATTAAATTTAAAACTAATTTAGTTTGTTTGTTTCTGGATTTAAATTTTTTAAATTTATTTATTTATATTTTATGTATATGAGTGTTATGCCTGCAAGTATGTAACTGCACCCATGTCGTGCAGTGCCCATGGAGGACAGAAGAGAGCATTGGAGCCCCTGGAATTGGAGTTACAGATGGTTGTTAGCAGCCATATGGGTGCGGGGATTCGAACCTGGGTCTTCTGCAAGAATGGCCAGAGCTGAGCCATCTCTCCAGCCCCTAATTTTTGTTTTTGAGATAAGGCTTCACTGTGCTGCCCAGGCTGTTATTGAACTCCTGAACTCGACTGATCCTCCTGCCTCAACTTTCCAAGTAATTAATTGGGACTGCAGGCACATGTCACTACACTCAAAATGTGTCTGTTTAATCAGGGTATAAAGAATTAGAAGTTCAGTGAGTTGATGAAACCAGGGAAAATCTGAGATGCAACAAAACAATGGAACTTTGATGATATATGACAAAAGGTCTCTTACTAAGCCTCTTTCTAGTTTTTTGAATAAAATAATGAAAATATGGCAGATAAAATGGTTTAGCTTATCTTTACCATGCAACTTGAGTTTGATCCCCAGAAAGATGGAAGGAGAGAAGTGACTCCACAGAATTGTCCTCTGACCTCCATGTTCATGCCATGGCACAGCACCCCTACACACAAATCACACACACACACACATACACACACACACACACACACACACACATACACAATAATATAAAGTTTTTTAAATATGAAAAGAAACATTGTTCAGGATGTGCAGTTTTAAACTATTTTTTCCAATATTGTTTATGGTAAAATACATGTAACATAACATTTATCCTTTTAATGTACACGGATCACTGGCTTTAAGAACATTCATAGTGTTGTACCACTGTCATCAGCATCTTATCATTGTCTCCCAGTCTTACATCCTAGAAGATAACTAAAAGTCATAAACTCTTGCCCTTTTTTATCGAGGCCATTGAAAGGAAAGTAGAAATTAACCATATGAAGAATGTATTGATTCTAAAAAGGAACTGCATCAGCACCTGGCTTAGTCATGTCAGAGATGAGAGTGTCAGGCAATTGGTCCCTCGGTGTCCCTAGCTGCTGAAGTAGTCATCACTAAATACTCTTTCTAATGAAGTTTCTGTTTTGTTATTTATCCTGTATTTTAAAATATTTTATTATTATTTTTATTTTCTGTGTATGAGTGTATTACCTGCATGTATCTGGGTGCACCCATGTCGTGCAATGCCGCGGAGGTCAGACGAGGGCTTCGGATTCCCCTGGAACTGGAGTTAAGGATGGTTCGTAGCCTCCATCCATGTGGGTGCTGGGAATCGAACCTGGGTCCTCTGCAAGAGCAGTCAGTGCTCTTAACCACTGAGCCATCTCTCTAGCCCATAATTATCCTGTATTTTAACATGCTCCATAACTACACATATATAAATAATTGAACACATAATTTTTAAAGAATATTTTTATTCCAAAAAGAAGCAATTTTTAGGACATTTTTCCCGAAATAACTTGAGGTAGGTTGCATAAAAATATATATACAATGATGTTTAAGGGGGGAAAAGTAGGGATAAGAAATCAAAGACCATAGCTGGGTGTAGTGACACACGTCCTCAATCCCAGCACTTGGGAAGCAGAGCTTGGCAGATCTCTGTGAGCTCGAGGCCAGCCCAGTCCACCCAGCAAACTCCAGGTTAGCTGGGGTCACAGGGAGACCCTGTCCCAAAAATAGCCCCCCCCCAAAAAAAATCAAAGACCAAAGGATTTGCTAACATGGGGTCAACTTTGGTGGAGTAATGAAGGTTTCCATTAGCTCCGTTCTTTTTTTTATTTTTTTTTATTTTAAATCCTAACTAGTTTATTAGGCTTGCTAACAGAGCATAGGGTGGGAGTTTATTTGCAGAAGAGTAGGTATCCCCCATTTACCGTTGCACTGCAAAGTCCATACTCAAATATAGATCCTGTGACTTCCCAGCAGCCACACAAAATGATAAGAGGTACCTCCTGGCTGAACACATAATTTTTATTCTTTGGCTGTATACCTTTTCCTTAATGGAAAACACATAACCTTCATTTACCTGTCCTTTGGGTGCCCTAATGTAGACCACTTGATTTTTCCCAGTTCATGTAGTGTATGTGACCAGGATTGAGCTTTTAATGGCTGTTAGATGTGTGTCATTATTGTTAGTCTTTTTTTTCTCCTATAGACAAAAAAAGCTGTTTTCTCCAGCTGCTGTTATACAAACTAATGTATTTAATTTCTGCTGTCTTCTGCTTTTCCACATTTTGGATTGTCTCTTAATGGTAGATTCTCTCAAATGGGTTTTTAAGATAAAAGCTTTCAAAATAAAATTGTAGATACAGATATTTTCTAGCATACCTTTGATTGTTTGTCAATTTCTAGTGCTTCTAATAGTTCATGAGGATAGATTTTTCACCATGTAACTTGAAACAATAAATTTCCGGACTCCCAGCCCCACCTATCAATCATGGCAGCACTGTTGCAGCAAACTGACACCTTTATCAAACAAAAGTTTAAACGGACATTCCATCTCTTACATGGTCACCTTCATGTACCTCATTGATTTCATTAATTAAATAATTTTTGCATGTCTTCTTTTGAAATTGCCTTTAAAAGAATTCCACCAAATAACAAGCATGTTAAGATACCTTTTCTTACTACGTGAATGCTCAATCTCTAGATCCAGGAATAGTAAATCTTTGTGTGTGCTGTAATAGGTTTGGTTATTTCAACTAAATTTGTAATAATGATACAATTTTAAACCAGTTTTTCTTTTCATCTAATTAGCTCACCCATAAAACTAATTTATAATACCCTCACCAAATATCTAATGTACCTTTCCTTGCATTTAAATGTTAGAGAGTAAGATTCTTTTCAGGGTGATATTAAAAATATTCTTTATGACTGTCATTCATGTTATTTTCTAAAGTCTTTAAATGATTATTTTTCAGACTAGTTTTACTTTATCTGTGTGATTAAAAACAGGCTTCCCTGGTGGGAATTTTTAATCTGTGGCTGCCTGCCTCATGGGGTATAAGCCCTTGATCTTTCTATTTGGTATGCATTGACCACTTGACAGATTCTGCTTGTTTGTAAGTAGTTTCTCAAACATGCTAATGTTGCTTTCCCCAGTAGGGCTTGGCATTTTTATGAAGATGGAAAAAAATTCTTTAGTAATGCAGTTCTAAATTGATGTGAGATTACGTGTCACAGTATTCAATTTATATTTATGTATATTTTCTTTCTATTCCAGCCTACGTAATCATAGTCATATTTTTCAAAAACGGAAAGGCAACAGGCAGAACATGTACACATACACACAGTTATAAGGAGAATGACTGTTAGCTACACAGATGTAAATCAGAATGGAATTCTATCAGACAGAATTCTAATAGATTACGGGACCAGAAGGCTATGAAAATGTCCTGTGTAGTAAAGGGTCCCACTTACATGTGGAAGCTAAAAGGTTAATCTTTAATAGACGATAATGATTACCAGAGCCTGGGAAGAGTATTGGGGAAGGGGCTGGAGAGAAGATGGTTAGTGGGTACAGAAGACTGAGATAGGAATGATGCTAATGATTGGTAGCATAGTAGGATAACGGGTTGCTGACAGTAGGATAGCTAGTAAAGAAAGTTTTGAATGTATTCAACACAAAGAAATGAGGTAATATGTCACTTTGATCATTGCACATTATATATACATATTAAAATGCCACATTGTATTTATACATAATGGACAACTGAAATTTTTTAAGTCACTGAAAAAGCCCTTAAGACCAAAGAGTTTAAGAATTGATGTTCAAGAGTCAAATTTATGAGTTTATACACATGTCTTCAGGAGATACCAGGGCAAGGGGCAAATGAGCTCCCCTTTCCTAAGCAGCTGCTGGTGGGGCAGCTGGAATTCCATGTTGTAAAGAATATGGATAGATGCATGCTGCATTGTGAGAAAGCCCAGATAAAAGACTTTCATGGGTGCCTAGCAGAACTTGAGGGAAACCAGATGACTCTGACGTAAAATCATGAAATATGAGATTTACTGTTTGAGAAGTTTAATGCTGTTCACTTAATTCAGCCTGATTTCTCACTACAGGGCTACAACACACAGTGATCTTATTCTGAGAGCAACAAAGTTAGGAATTCCATACCGTGTTATTCACAATGCCTCCATAATGAATGCCGTGGGCTGCTGTGGCTTGCAGGTAATGCTACAAGGAAGTTCTTTACGTGGAGCTTAACAAAAGTGTTTTATTTTCCTATAGATTACAAGTTGATTTTATTGTTTCATGACCTATGAAACAATTTGAGAATATATTCTTTGATATACGCTTCTTTTTCATACCAGGTTTCCCTATAATATAGTTGTTTCCCATTTTCTTCGCCCGTTCCTGCAATAGGCCACTTACACTTAACAAAGAGAATGACTTTAATTTTATGTCCATCTTGTACATACATGGAAAAGAAAGTATAAGTGAATGATATTGCTTAAGTGTTCCTAGACACCTTTTATGTTCTTCCAGATGACTTTGTCAGCATCATCGAGGCCCAGGTTTTCTTAAGTGTTCCTAGACACCTTTTATGTTCTTCCAGATGACTTTGTCAGCATCATCGAGGCCCAGGTTTTCTTAAGTGTTCCTAGACACCTTTTATGTTCTTCCAGATGACTTTGTCAGCATCATCGAGGCCCAGGTTTTCTTAAGTGTTCCTAGATACCTTTTATGTTCTTCCAAATGACTTTGTCAGCATCATCGAGGCCCAGGTTTTCTCACACACTGTTGTTTCATCTGGAGCCCCGTGATGCTGCATGTTTTGAATGAACAGAAGAGCTGTAAGCCAGAGGTTTGCATGCAAGGGCGCTTTGTACCCACTGATGTGTAAAGTGATTTTTCAACTCAGCTCAGAGAGACTGAAGGACTGCTCTCTGCAACCATCTCCAAGATTTTAAGTTGGCTATCTGCATTGTCCATGACAGCTCTGACCCCTGCATGGCTGACTGTGCTTTTTAAGACATTTGATTATTAAAACATAACTGTTTTAGATGTGTTTTAATAGGAAAATAGGTGCATCTTAGAACCCACAAAACAAAATATTCTCTGATATATCTTCCTGAAATGTGTAACTTTTAGATATAAATAAAAAAGGTGCATTTGGTCTCATGAGATGGTTCAGCAGATGAAGGCACTTGTCACCAACCCTGACAACCTGAGTTTGAGCCCTTGAATATACATGGTGAAAGGAGAGAACTGACTCTACAGGTTGTTTCCTGATTCCATATGGGTGCTGTGTTATGCACCCCTTCCCAGATAAACAAAGAAACATTTTAAAGAGATACTGTGTAATCAGACACCAGTGCTATGCTACCTAGGAAGAGCGGCTTAGCTTTGTTGACTAATAATGACCATTCATTCATTTCAAAATATCTTATATGGTTGTGAAGAATCAGACAAAAATTATCAATTCACTTATGGGTATTCACCACTTACTCTAGTTATTTTAATTTTATGTGTATGAGTGTTTGCTTGCATGTATGTAAGTGCCTCAGTGCATGCAATGCCAACAGCCACCAGAAGAGGGTGTTGGATCCCCCCCGGAACTGGAGTTATGGACAGTTGTTAACCACCATGTTGCTGCTGGGAATCGAACCTAGGTTCTCTGCAAGAGCAGCTTTTAACTGCTGAGCCATCTCTCCAGCTCCTGTTGTAGTTACTGTACTTGCGTCAGCATAAAATTTTGCATTCCGTTTGTCAGAAATGTATGCTCAAAAGCAAACTCAGTCAAAAACAATTTCAGTCTTTGTGGTTTAAAACCCTTCTGAATATTTCTTTGTTGGAGAAGAGGGAGTGGTGTCCACAGAACTCTAAAATGTTAATGCTACAGAGAATGCTTTGAGTAGAGAAACGAGTTCCAAAATGTTCCCAAAGGTATGGTAGCAAAGATCGAATTTTTTAAGTCTTGGTGCCTAGTCCAGTATCCCTCCCTTTAGGCAATGATATCGTGAAAGAATTGGTGATTGCTAGAAGAAAGGAGAAAAAGGAAAATGAATTAACATGATGGGTAAAGTTGTATAAACATTAAGCAAATGGAACATGCCTTTTTTTGTGTTGGTTTTAATTTTAGGTCTTGTGAGGGAAGGAGCCCTTTCTCCATCATGTTTTGTTTGAAATTATCCTGTTTTCTTTAAGAAAAAAAAAGCATTAAAAAAGAAGAAAAAAGCCCATATCTCATCTATATCTATTGTCCAGACCAGTTAGAACTGAATTTTGTGACCCTAACCTTTTAGTCCTTTGAATTGTTTTAAAAAGTTATTGTTCTCCTATCTAAAATGGAAGAAGTCTATTTGAGAAGGTATTTGCTGTTAGAAGTGGCAGTTTCCATTTAAGTCCGTAAGATTATATTCATATTTAATAAAATGTTTTCAAAATATTTAACTTTCATAATTGTATATAAATATTTTCTACATGTTATAAACTATTTCTCTGATCTTCATTTTATTATCTACTCTGGGTGCGAAATGACTTACAACCTCGATGCAAAACAAGAAGTGCCTTGCTAGGTTCCCTCTAATGTACTGATGAAATTTCTATGGAGATGAAATTTCTATGGATGACCTTGTTCTACCCCAAACATTCATATTCCAGGAAAAGGAGGTGTTTCTATAGTCTTCCAATTTAAAATTGTTTTAAAAATTACCCTTGACCAAAAAAATTACAATTGTCCCTTTTCCATACTAATTATTCTGTGACCCCTGAAGATACTAATATCAGCAGATGCCAAGGTCCGTCCCTCTGTGAAACGGTGTAGTATCTGCATATAACCAGTACAGATTTCTTGTATGCTTTGAGTTCTCTTTAGATTACTTTGAGTAGCTAATCCAGTGTAAGTGCTCTGTAAATAGTCATGTTGTATTCAGGAATGGACAAGAAAAAATAGTACATGTTGAATGCAGAAGCAGTTCTCCTGCCCCCAAATATTTTTGCTTGATGGTTAGTCAAATCCCTGGAATTAGAAGCACAGATATTAGAGGGTCAGCTCTATATGCATGGTGTGCTAAGTAAATAAATGTACATGTACCATGCATAATGTAAGACCTTCAGTAGAGTTCCTTTATTTTTTGGCCTTTTTCTCTTTACTGTTTGGACTAGCATTTGTGGAAGACATAACCTGAATAAGAGACTCTCAGGCTTTAGTATTCATCAGATTTTTCCTAGAGGACTTGTGACTGCTGAGCCTTAGCCACAGACTTTCTGAATATAGTAGCTCTGGGATGGGATCCAAGAAATTGCATTTTTAAGAAGCACTTGGATGCTACAGAAGCTGCTCGTCCCATGCCTTGAGAACCACCATTATAAGCAAACAAAGAATCTTGGAAAGTGAAAGCATTTTATTCTCTCTCTTCCTGTGGCAGGACTTGAAGAGTACATTTTAATTCCCAGAAACACTTGGCAGGTGTAGAATGCCAGCAAGCCACCTGGTCATGCTCTCGCTTAAGTTTCTAAAAGGGAACTAGGCTCCACTTTTGAGAGGTGTTTTGTTATCTCTGAAAGCTTTCCCTTGATTTCAAAAACACATCACATTGTTGAACAGAGGGCTCCACTTTTGAGAGGTGTTTTGTTATCTCTGAAAGCTTTCCCTTGATTTCAAAAACACATCACATTGTTGAACAGAGGGCTCACATCGAGTGCTGGGCAAAACATGCTTTCCTCCCTCTTCTCATTAAAGAGGAGCAGTTAGAAATTCCTAACCTGAGAGCGGGCTGTCAGTTTGCCAACTCTTCTTAAGCCATCCTGTTTTTGTTTTCTAAAGGAAAAGCAAGGACAGCTCAGAATTGGCCCTTGCGTGCTTTTCATTCACTTCGTAGTTTTATTAGCTGGCAGGAGATCCTTGTTGATCAGGATCATTGATGGCAAATAGTCGCAGAGTTTCTTAACACTTCTGCCCATGTATGCAAACACATATACATAGCTCATTGATGAGCATTCTGTTACAGGCAGGTCGTAAAATAATTGTCCTTACCATAAGTCTTCCATTCCTAGTGAAAATGTCCTTGTGAAACAAAGTATACTAGAGGCTTGTAAATTAGACATTTTAAGGTGATAAGCTATTCATTCATTCATTCATTCATTCAATAAATGCTATTTATCTACTTACTACTTATTAGATGCCTTTATACCATAGATCTATAAGGCCCCTGTCCTCAAGGATCTTCTGTGTAGTTGTAGGATTTTTTCATCCTCATGAAATGCTTCCCCTTTCTCTGACTGTTGGTTATGTGACCTTGAGTTTCGCCATGTGTTCTCTGTGTAGTACATGTCTGCTTTAGAAATGTCTTTTGTTTTAAAAAGAATGACAACTTATTTCCATCTTTTTTCCTACCGTCACACTCAATATGATACCAGTATTGTTGACTGTAGAGTAGTTCTTACTAGTAGTTTTCAAAGATTAATTGGTTTCATTGTTGTCTAGGAACTAATGCAGTAACTAAAAGTCTAGCATAGTACAAAAACATTAAAGTAGATAATAAGGATATTAGAGCTCTACATGAGTCTGTAACCATAGAGCTCACCTAAGCTTTGTCTCATCTGGCATAGTAAATTTCCCGTTTACCATTTCTACTTTACTATTATTGTTAATGTTTTTGTTTATTTTGATTTTCTTTCAACTTCTTTTAAAAAAAAATTAAATTACAAGCTGGGCGTGGTGGCACATACCTTAGTCCGAGCACTTGGAAGACAGGGGCGGTGGATCTCTGTGAGTTCAAGACCAGCCTAGTCTACATAGTGAGTTCCAGGTCAGCTGGGGTTTCAGGGAGACCCTGTCTCAAAAAAGACTAAATAAATAAATAAATAAATAAATAGCACCTGGTGGAGCACGCCTTTAATACCAACACTTGGGAGGCAGAGGCAGAGGCAGGCAGATCTCTGTGAGCTCAAGGCCAGCCTGGTCTACATAGTGAGTTGCAGGTCAGCTGGGGCTTCAGGGGGACCGTGTCTCTAAAGAAGACAAAAACAATTCTTTTAATTACATTTTTACTCATTTTGTGTCTGTGTGTATGTGTGTGGGTGCATATACACGATGGCACATGTGTAGAAGCAGAGGATACTTGTGGGGTCGATTTTTTTCCTCCTACTCTGTGGATCCCAGAGATAGAACTCAAGTCGTCAGGCTTCGAGGCAGACACCTTTTGCCACTGAGCCATGTTGCT